AATATAAACAATAATAATATATATATTATTATTATTATATTATTATTATTATTATTATTATTATTATTATTATTATTATTATTATTATTATTATTATTATTATTATTATTATTATATATTANATTATTATTATTATTATTATTATTATTATTATTATTATTATTATTATTATTATATATTATTATTATTATACGTTAATTATATATATTGTTATGTACAATTTTATAATATACATATATTATTATATTATAAAATAATATAACTGTTTAAATATATATATATATAATATTATTGGGTTGACAAGAAAGTAATATTTCACATTGGAAAACCGAAATTACTTTCTTGCCAACCCAATATATTCGCAAATATTTAATCATATAATTATATATCATTGTACATAATTTTTTATAATTGCGTAGTTATATATATGTTAATATACTACCAACTGAAAGCTTAGAAACTTTACAAAAGTTCGGAAAAACAGGATATTTATTTGATATAGTAATTAATTCGGTACATTTGAAAAATAAATAAAGAAAAAGAATTAGAGTAGTCTCTTAGGAATATTATTTGGTAAATTTTTAACAGACTCGTAGGAGTATATGTTGGCGACTTTCGATCTTCAGAGACTACTTTTGGATGGAACTGCAGTGCAGTGTAGTGCAGTTCAGTGCAGTGTGTGTTATGTGCATCGGACCGGTTTCTGTGCTCGTCGACGATGTTGCGCTCTCCGAGTTAGACGACGTCTCTCGTTCCCAGACTCAACGAATCCAACACGCCTTGTGCATCCTTTCTTTCTCTTTAATTTTTTTTCTTTTCCCCTTTTTCTCCCTTTTTTCTTTTTTTCTTTTTTTCTTTTTTTTCCCTTTAATTATTTCCATCAAATGTTGCTGGAGTTTACATTTTCTTTTCTTTGTATATTCTTGTTAATATTTTGTAGGGTTTTATCAATGTTTAGGGTTATCAACGTGGAACTCATTATTTTCTTATTTATTATGATTATAATTTGTTCTACTTTTTGTTTGAGTTACTTTTTTTTTCTGTGCAATGTGTAATTGTGAATATTTATATTTCTATATTATTTGATTTTTTCTTGGCTATGAATTGAATTCTTAGAACTTCGACCATACATCACAGTTATTTTAATTGTAAACACTAATTTGTTACTTAAAAATTATTGTATAATGAATATTTTTTAATATATATAAATAAATTTTTTATTTTAGGAATATTCGTTTAATTTTTAATAAATAAAAATTTATATAAAAACTGAATAATATTATATGTGTGTGTATATATATATATATATATATATATATATATATATATATATATTATAATAAATATAATAAATAAGTATTATATAAAAATATAATATATATAGATATGTATATATATAATAATAATAATAATAATAATAATAATAATAATAATATATTATAGTATTTTATATATTATAAATTATTATAATAAATAATATATAAAATTTTAATAATTTTATTAACAATATTATTAAAAAAATTTTAATATATAATTTTAATATATAATTATAATAATTAATATTATAATAATTATTATATAATTAAATATTATAATATTATATATATATAAATTATACAAAGACTTTATATAAATTATAATAAATAATATTTGATTTAATTTGATAACAAATGATATAAAAATTTCTAAGAAAACAAAATCACACAAAATTTATTATTATATTTCACGCGCATATTACATCACATAATCACATAATTATACTGTATGTTTTATTATAATTTATCTTGTATTGGGATCTCTAGCACTTGAATACGCTATCTGGTGGCTAAATTCAAAATTAGAGTAGATAGGTCTAATTGCTACGCTCCTACACCTCTGCCAGAGATCCCAATACAAATTTTCATTATACACAGCATAAATAATATTTATTCACAAAAATCGCTGAGCTAATTTAATTTACTAATTATTTATTAACGTTATAAATTTTATTAGAATATTTTTGAATGTAAATTTTGATTTTGAAAAATTAAAATAATGTTCATTCATTAAAATCACGCAGCTAATATTTTATTTTGTTTACGTAATTTTTGTATTCACCTTAAAAAAAAAAAAAAAAGAAAAAAAAAGAGAGGACAAGATCCTCAAATTACTATTTCGTTGCTGAGACTAAAGAAGAAAAAGAAAGAAAAGGAAAAAAAATGTTTTATTTTGTCATTAAGTGTTACAAAAATTCGGTCTACGTCGTCGACGAAACGAAAAGGAGTAATTTACGTTTTTACATTTCATGTACTTACAGCAACGTCGAAAACGAAACCGCTGCTGTCTGTACATTAAATCGCGCGACGCGTTTAAAAGCAACCAAGCAAACTAGTGAGTAAAGAATATACATACATACACGTCATACATATATAAATATATTATATATATGTATAAATACATATGTTGCTTGGTCGTATGTTTTATTCGCGGTACGCTTTTAAACGCGCAATCGTTCGTACGTTGACACTGAATATGCAGTGTGCAGGTTTAAATATGAGCAAGTAAGCAACCAACCAACCAACCAACCAACCAAGTAAATTTGTGAATTTCAACTAAAACAATTTTTTACCGATGATCTATCTACCCCTAGGTAAATGAGATGAAACGAAGATAGATTGCGAAATTTCTGTCTTATACTTGGGAAACAGTATATTTAACCTAATTTCATCCAAATAATTACTCATGCTCAATATTAAATAATGTTATTATTATAATTTGATTAACCAATAAATAATTTTGAAATTTTTATCACTTCTATGAAAAATATTAGCGTTATTTATTTAATTATAAAATTAATGAATTTGATAATATTATATATTATTAAATATATTATAATATTATATATAATTTATTATATAATAAATATATAAATATATAATATTATATATATTTTATATATAATTTATATATGTTGCCGCTCGAGCAACATTGGTTTGCATCAATTATTTTATTTATTTTAATAAATGCAATTTCTTTTTATTATTTTTTCTTTTAAAGAGAGTCAACTAAAAGTTTGCAAATCTCTTAGACGCGTTTCTGTATAAAATATTGCAAATTCTAATATTAATTTTATTAGTCAATTTAATATTTAATTACGACAAAATATTGAATAATAATGATAATAATAATAATTACGAGCTAAAGACTCTAGCACAGAGCCACAAAGCCGTTCAATAATAATAATTACTATTATCGTTAATATAGTGAAAATTTTAACATGAATCTCTTTCTACAAATATCCACAGTGCATTTTCGAAATATGAACAATTCGATATAAACAATGGCAACTGATTTTGTATTCCATTGGAAGGATAGCAACAATAATAACATGAATCGTATTTGCTCATTCTGTAGTACATTTCCAAAGCATTAATTGAACATTTAACATGGTAAAAAGTATGACAGTTCAATTTGCATTCCCTCTAGACTCAAATTTAAAGAGACACATGTTATTACATTGTGCAATGATTTGATTTAATGCAATAAGGTGTAAATAGATGCGTTAGATGGTAATTAGAGACGTTAGACGATGACTTAATCAGGTTTAGAGTGGTATCGTTAATATGATACACGTATGTTCTTAATTATTTGATTTCGACAGATAAGATTTAATCTAAAAGAATCAGTCGAAAGAGACTCGTTTGAAATTAGGAAATAAAAAAAGGATAAAAAATTGATCGGTTTCGTGACCTCGATATCAAGATTCACGTTCTCGGTGCGCTGAACGATAGTGCACAACTTCCGGCCGGAAGTTAATAAGACGTTGGCGGTACCAGTACACGATTCAAACTTGCATGCAAAGCATATCGATCGTGTCTGACAATTCGCCATATTCACTTGCCCCGATTTTTCTATTATTATTTTCTTCCTCTCTTTTTTTATATTTTTTTTTTTTTTTCCGTTATTATTGACCCAAACATAATTTTACTAGACTTACTGTGGTGGATAGTTCATCGCCATTTTTGAAAAGGATGATCGATCCAACTTTTAATTTTGTCCGGCTTACTTTTATTCTTTCATTATCCTTTACGAGAGAGAGAGAGAAAAAAAATGGTAGCGAATTCTTCGTCATTTTTAAAACGATTGATTCAACTTTAATCTTGTTCGACTTACTTTTATATTTCCGTTATCTTTTAAAGAGAGGAAAAATATGACGATAGGTTAGTTATCATTTAAATAACATGTTATTATTCTGCATCATATTCGCCATTTTTCTTTTACTTATTCCAATGACGAAATTATAATGATAATTTGTTTGGAAAACTATAAACAAGGACGTAGCCTATCCTGTAACAAAGGACGCCTATTGTTCTTGTTCTCTCTGGTTGAAATGTATACCACCGTTAAGGAGAAGAAGATATATTTCCGTATTATACACAATGTAAACTCGTGTCAGTCGCGTGTCGCATACTTTCCTGAGAACACAACGATCGTCGTATACGTCATCGCTTTAAAGAGGAAGGAAAGAGAGAAAGAGAACAAACGTACCATCTAGAAATATATAGTTTGCTTCTCCTAGTTCAACGGGTCAATGGAGCGCACAGATATATCCTCGTCTAATGTGAACTCTAAAAGAGACGAGACACGTTTCTGTCGTCATCCAAATCGTCCTTGGCACATTTCTTATTGGTCTCGAATTTCTCGAAGATCTCGAATAAATAAGGTGTTGTATTAAGAATTCTATACAGATAATTATTAATGCCTTCTTATCGATAGGATCATAACGTTAATTATTTACTGCTGGAACGTGTAGGAACAAAACATTATATGTGACAATAAACAATGATCAATTTGGCAATAAATAATTTTATTTATAACTATGATGTTAAAAGAGAATAAATAAACAAATAAGGAACATTAATTATCAACATATCTAATTAAAAGCAAAATACAAAATTTGAAATAATAGGACAAAAACATCCATCCATCCATCATCTCTTTTGTTTGCTTTCTGTTAACAGATACAGGCGAAGCGCGAGCTGTTCTTCAAAGGCGACAGCACGGGCATTATCTCTTCGCCTTCAGTGCCAACAGTTCCACCACCTCAACCACCAGGACAGGGAGCATCGTCGTTAACAACAACTAGTAGTAATACAACGACTAGTATCAGTACGACGACAAGTAACAACAGTGGCACCACGACGCTCGTTAATTCGACTAGTACAAACGTCAACAGTAGCAATAACAATAACAACAACAACAGTACATCGATCCAATCGACATCTTCCATATCCTCCTCCTCGTCTTTGAGCACGACGGCTAACATTTACACTGGTGTCAGCGCGAGTCATGCGAGTCATGGGACGAGCAGCTCTGTACCACCAACGGCGAAGATGCGTTTGCCTCTCTCTTCCTCCTCTTCATCGACGACCTCATCCAACAATCCCAACCATACCTCGGCCTCGTCTCTGATCCTCAATCAAAACGATTCATCAGAAGATAGTAACAAAAGGGATTCGTCGAGGAGCAACGAGTCTAAGGATTCATCATTGAACTCTATACTTCACCGGCCACTTCAACCGTTAACAAAATCGAAGGAACTCGATGGTTACGTTGGCTTCGCCAATTTACCTAACCAGGTGTATAGAAAGGCCGTTAAGAAAGGATTCGACTTTACCATCATGGTCGTTGGTTCGTATTGTCTCGATTGTTTTATTTCTTTATTTTTATTTATTTTTTTCTAAAGTAGGATTCTACCTTATTCACTCAAATGTGACGCTGTCGGTAAAAAATAAGAATATTCTCTACTTTACCGACACGCTCACCGATTCATCTACTTTTCTCAATGTTTTTTCTTCGACTTGATTATTAAAATTGATTTTTTCATACTTTCAAATATGTACTTACACGTATATAACAACGGAACAATGAGCGAAGTGTCAGACCTTGAAAGCAGGATCGTTCTTAGCTCAATTAACACATCCATTTGCCGTCACCTTTTGCCAAAAAGACAACGAACATCTGCTCTCGAGGGTCAAAAAGATCGAAAGACAAAAGGAAGCCCGTTTCTCTGTCCCCTCTCTTTCTTTCTGGCTTCTTCTTTTCGTTTTTTTTTCTTTTCTTTTCTTTTACGCTGCACTGCTGTTTCAATTCCGCCGTCAGGAATATATATCGGCTTTTATAAAATTTTCTCATCTGCTCGACACGTGCGGCGCCGGTTTGCATACATCCATATACACTGCACCATACGCAGCTGGATTAGGCTTGCCACTGTGTGTTGTGTTGGTCCTCAGTGATTCTCAAATTTATCATCCTCAATATTAGAGTCTCTGTTGAAAATGATTTTAAAATAAATGGAATTCTTAATTTCTTCTTTGACCAAGAAAATCCTTCAGTAAACTCCTTTTTATGATTCGTTCTCAACTTTCTTAGTTTTGGGGATATTTTTCTTTATAGTTTGTTTTAGGGTATGTACGTATCATTATATTCAACTGGACAAACAAAGCATTCTTGCAATATATATGATATATGTACAAGAAAGTTCCCCCGTTCAAAATGAAAGCGAGAAATTTGAGAATATGGGCGGAGTACTCTGCTATTAATAGGATCAGTATAAACGGAGTCATTCTTCGTAAATAAAGCAATTCAAGTACGTACCCTTGAGAATGACCACTGGTACTGGTTCAAGGTTTGCAAATGCAACGATATTTTAATCACAGCGATACCAATTCCTTCGAATTTAAGTAGACATTTGTACCACGATCTTTTTATACCTTTTTATGAAATCGAATGTGCATAAAAATAGACGTGAAAATAATGTTTAATAAAAATGATGAATACTTTTTTCTAATTAATTTGATTCCAGTAGTTTTAAATATTTGTTTTTTCTTTTCTTAGGTCGATCCGGGTTAGGAAAGTCAACTTTTATAAACTCCATGTTTTTGGCTGATATATACAGCGCGGAATATCCAGGTCCCAGTTTGAGGGTAAAGAAAACAGTAGCTGTCGAGACAACCAAGGTGTTGTTGAAAGAAAATGGGGTAAATCTTACACTGACAGTGGTCGATACGCCTGGATTTGGCGATGCGATCGACAATAGTAATTGGTAATTCATGCTTGATTTATTTTTATTCTTCACCTATTGCATATTCCAAAAAAAAAAAAATTAATGCCACATCTCTAAGTTCTTTTAACAAACGAGACTCCATTTTGAAAATTTCTCAATATACACACAGAATATTTCAAAGTGTAATAATTAACATGTATTTGCATTTGAAATAAATCGAAGTAAATTATCGAGGAAGAAATAATTATTTTAAAAATGTGGATGGATAAATAAAAATTCATATTTTAAACCAAGAATTCTCATATGATCATAACTTTGATGATTCCATATGGGATCGCATAAATTTGAGCAAAACTTGACTTGACTTTGATCCTTAGTCGCCTAAGGACCAAAAATGAATTCAATACTAGTTGGGAAACACTACATGTATAGTATGTCTGCTAGTTTATGATAAAGTAGAGTACAAAGTTTATACTCAGGATCATAAACATATTTGCTCGGGTTAAGGGGGGTTGCTAAGCGGAAAAGTTTGAGGAACTCTGTGTTCAAAGTATTACAACTTTGTATGATATAATTTTTCATGCCATATATAATTTATTAATTATTCAAAATGTACATGTGTTGGATGTCTCACTTTGTATGCATGTATAAATATATTTGTATGTTCATTTAAATAATACAAATTATTTATGAATATATATCATATGTTTCAGTTGGGTTCCAGTTATAGAATACATTGAGTCAAAATATGAGGAGTTCTTGAATGCAGAGTCTCGTGTAACGAGACGGCAAATACCCGACAGTCGAGTACACTGTTGTCTTTATTTCATTGCGCCCTCGGGTCACGACCTGACGCCGCTCGATGTAGAGTTCATGCAACGCCTTCACGACAAAGTCAATATAATACCTGTAATCGCTAAAGCAGACACGATGACTCCTGACGAGCGTGCTTATTTTAAAAAGAAAGTTAGTTCATTACATATTTTTTTTCATAAAAAAAAATATATATATATATATTTCACATACAAATATCTATAAAAACAAATTTTCTTTAATCAAATATAATGCACATAGTCATATATACTTTATAGTACATTACACATACGAGCGCGTAATTAGAATTTTGTATAAATTCTAATTTCCTAAATATTAAACATAAATAAAGAATAATTTGATATAATTTAAATTTTTATCACACATATTGATTTTTTATTATAAAATATGGTTCACATGTACAGAAAAATTAACAATAATCATTTTCTTTTCTAGATATTAAATGAAATCGCACAACACAAAATCAAAATTTATGAATTCCCAGAAGAAGAATACGAAGAGGATAGCAAATACGATAAAGTTTTAAGGGATAGAGTTCCCTTTGCGGTTGTCGGTGCGAATACTGTAGTAGAACACGATGGGAAAAAAGTACGTGGAAGAAATTATCCATGGGGTATTGCCGAAGGTATATGAAAAAATTCATTATTTATATTTTGTATCATTGTTACATCAAATTATCTATTTAAAAAATCATCATCTTTGGTCATTACTTTTTTCAGTTGAGAATTTAGAGCATTGCGACTTCATAGCTTTGCGAGATATGATCATTCGTACGCACCTACAAGATTTACAAGACGTTACGAATAATATTCATTACGAGAACTTCCGATGTCGGACTTTAGCTGGTCTCGGTGTAGATGGCAAACCGACTAAAATATCAAATAAGTACGTTCAATATATACTTTACGAATTTTTTTCTTTTCCTTTCATTTCGTCATGTATGTTTGTCGTTTTTTTCCCCAAGGAAACTTTGATTTCTTTTTTTTTTGACGTATATTTAAGAAGGATAAGGAACAACATGGTAATTAAATGAATGTACGAGATGAATTTACAAGATACAGGCATTTTAATCCAAAAGCTCTCCTTGCAAAAATCACTGTCAGTTGTACACAATGATCAAAATGTCAAAGAAACTGTCAAAGATTTTGACATGAAATCTATAATAACGCGAATTGCACTGCTTTGTTGAACTCAAACGTTTTAAAAAACATGTTAAGAATCTCGTTAGAATTTGGATAGAACGATATAGATTAATAATTTATCTACTAAATGTTAATCAGGAACGAATACAATTTTCTTTACTTTATGTTCGATCATTTTAATTTCTTTTAAGGATTATACTTGTTTTCTTCTTTTTCCCAACACAACGAAGGAAAAAGCTTGTGCATGCAAACTACTGGAAAGCAAGATATACAAATATTACCGTAGTCTAAATTCTTTACTTTTACTAATACTTTTGACAATAACAAAAAAATTATAAATTCCATCGTAGACAAAATGTAGCAAAAAAAAAAAAAATATCTGTGATAAAGACAAACTTCTTAAAAACATTATTCCTAAATAAATTTTAATATTGATTTCTTATTGGTTAGTTTGTGCCCACCAGGAGTGATGAACAGTTTCATGACAGTGTGGTAAGTCCTTTAATAAGGCTGAGGTCATGTACTATGGTTTTGTGTGCACAAGCCTTGTCGAATTTCTATTTGCTAGTTCTTAGTTTCAAAAATCATGTTATGCTAAATAAAAAGAAAAAAAAAATAAATAAAAAAAAAAAGGAGGGTTCATTGCGTGAGGAATCGAAGGAGCTCAATTTTATTAGTATAATTAAATTTATCTGTTATAAAATAAAAATTCTAATAAACATAATGGTCATAATACAAAGTCGATGTAACAATAATAACACAACATAATATCATCGTATCTTTCATTATTTGGTAGTGAGCCCTCTAAAACAAATTAGTTATTGCAAGTAACGCATTTTATAAATAATTGTGAAGTTTAGTAAACTCTTAGGGAGTGTAGATAAGGAACCAGGAAAATATTTGATATAAGAATTAAAAAAAAACAAAACTTTTTTTTTTTATTATTATTTCATTAGTTCATATGAAACCTTGCATCGATGTATATATACATATATACGTAAATCTCTATAATAACAGATTGCTTGCTGCTTTTTATTTGATCTTTTAGTGGCTATTTATTTATTTAGTTTTCATCATTGAAATGGCACAGCACTATTATCCCCCTTGTAATGTCTCGTTGTAAATCTATAAACTATTTTTCGAATAAATATTAGGAATATGTATATATATACAGGATGTCTGAAGTTTATCTAGCCTAACTGTGTCAGATTATTTTATTATATTACTTTATTTCTTATTTTCATGTACAAAATACGTAGACACTGTTTGACTGGAAAAATTTCAGACACCCCATATATTTATATGTATATATACATATATTACCATGATATTAAAAAATATTTACGGTAGTCTATTTATATTACCTATAAAAATATTATTCTCGTACATATATATATGCCTGTAACTAACAATGTATATTAGTACGATTTTTTATGTACAGATAAAAAAAAAACAACTATATTTTCTCGTAGATATGTAATTATAATTTATATTCTTTCATAAATTATGTTCAATGTGGTGTTTAATTGTTTAATTTATTTTTTTCTTTTGTTTTTTTTTCTTTTATTATAGGAATCCTTTGGCTCAATTGGAGGAAGAGAAAAGAGAACACGATAATAAAATGAAAAAGATGGAAATTGAAATGGAACAAGTGTTCGAAATGAAAGTTCGCGAAAAGAAACAAAAACTTAAAGATTCGGAAGCCGATGTAAGTACAACCATTACTTTAATTTTTTCTTTTCTTTAACACTAGATATACCAGACCATCATCATTTTGACTGGTCAGGCCATTTTAATTCAAAATTTCTACTTCATGTAACATTTGATTTCTGTAAATAATTAGGCGTTTTGTTATTTAAAAATATCTATAAATCTATTTATCTATTAAAATTATTATTGTTAAACAATTTTGTATTTTTTGAGAGTAAATAAAGACTGGAAGTCTCCAAAATCATTTTTTTTTTTTGTATACATACACCCAGTAGGTATACTGAAAATGGTGGTATATTTAGTGTTAATTTCGTTTTATTTAAAATTGCATTACTTATACTATACATACATATTGATTACAGTTACAGAGACGGCATGAACAAATGCGACGTTCTTTAGAGCAACAAATTCGCGAATTAGAAGAGAAAAGACGCGCATTCGAAACAGAAAAACTAGCATGGGAACAACAGACCGGTCACAGTATTGAAGAATTGCGTAGGCGCAGTTTAGAAGCCAACTCAAAAGAGTAAGTGTGAATTTATTTATTTATATTATATTATATTTAGATAACGCTTTTTGACCATTTCATTATATTTTATTATCGACGTTTTATTTTTATATATTTTTATTTAATACACAAAGTTGCCGCTTTGATATACTACACTATCCTATTCGTAATTTATCGTATCATGTATTTAAGGACAATCTGCCATTCATGTTAAAAAATAGAACATTATTTTATTTATTTATTATTCATTTGTGCAATGAGAGATGGGAAATATTTAGGGTGAAAGAAATATAAATGGTCTTCTAAATTTGTTAATAAACGAATTTAGGAGATTAAAAAAAAACTTTAAATCTGTTTTTAGTTAATATGTGCAAAGTTTTATTAATAAATGTAGTTCATTTCTAATAAGTTTATAATATTATGATAATTTATCAACGGTAACAAATTGCCAATGATATTTAGAATATAATTTTACTATATATATATACATATATATATATATACGTGAATTATATTCTTATTAAAAATAATTACTTCAGATATTATACGTCATTTTTCATGTAACGATAAAAAAAACTTCATTTAAAAAAATGACTACTTTCATTAATGGAGTACGAATATAATGAAGTGTTGATCTCAATGCTACTGCTATGGAATTTTGTTGTTGTTTTGTTTATAATTTGAAATAATATTTATTTTTTATAGCATATATAATATATTTTGATCGTTTTTTACGCGATGATCTGTAATGTCACATTTATTTATTTATTTTATTTTTTGGGATGGGGAAAAACAAAAAGAAAGATTTTAAAGATTATGAAAGAGAATATAACACTTTCGTTTATAAATGATTTGTTTATATAGTGCTTTTTATAAATGTAATTGTTTAGTGCTTCGTGTATATCAGCTACCAAATCAAAAGCTTTGTCCGCTTGTTAAATATATTAAGTAGATAACATATCGCAATTGATTGTGCAAGTTTTAACCCTTCAACTTATTTTTATTTCGCATTCATCTACTGTCATCATTAAAAAAAAAAAAAAGCATTAAAAAAATAAGTACGGCACATATTTGTCATCTAAAAATTAATATACATATATGTTGTTTTTATTTATTTATTATAAATATATAATAATATTCTATTTACTTTTTTTATGTATAAAAAAAAAGGATTTTTACTTTTTCTAATAACATTAGAATATAATCATAAAATGAAAAAAAAATAATAATAATTAACGTATGTATTTATAAATAGTTTCACAGTATGTTCATGTATATCTTATTCTTAATTTTTTTTTTTCTTTATAATGCATGCAGCAGATTTTTCCGATTTTATAAAAGGCAAGTAATGTGATGGAGAGGAGTATACATATTAAGTGTGATTTAATAATATTTACACTACTTTATTTTAATATATTAAATATATAATATATATATATTTTTAAACAATTAGAATAATTGAAAAAAATCATGAACCGTATGTAATATCACATTTTCCAAAGAATTAATTATAAACAAAGATGTCATTGATTACGATAATACAATTATTAACAATTAAATAATAACATTTTTTGCCTTTACAGAATATCCATTAATTAGTTAGTATTCATAGCGTAGCATTAATGTCAACATATCATTTATAAATAATAATAGTACTTTTATACAAGAAGTCTACTGCTTACGCGATATTATAGCAATTTTTATGTTTTTATTTTTTTTATTTCTATGATTCTTTTTTTTTTCTTTTCTTTTCTTTTCTCATCAAATTATTCTTTTATATAATGTATGTTAACCCTTTGACTGCTAAAGGCGTATATATACGCTTTCATAAATCCATCAATATACACGAAAGGCGTAAATATACATAGGCCTCCTGTATTTTTTTACAATAACACCTTTATTGCTGTATTACCGATTAATTGAACGTGGAATTTATTGTGATATGTAACATAGCAACTAAATATTGGCAATTATTTCAATGTCGTTTAATTAATTGTATTTATATTTGAAATATCGTTTATTTTAATTTGATTATCTTTATTCGTTCATTATCGTTTTATTATTTTTATAATAAGGTTAAAATTATTCAAATATCCTGTTAAAGTTATTATATTCTGTGTTACATTATAAATTTTGTATTTTGTATTTTTTCTTTTTTTTTTATATTTAAATTACCGATTATTATTGAAGGAATGCACAAAATAAATCAAGTAAATTTAAAATAGCTTAAAAAATTACTTTTAAAAAATTAAACAAAAATTCATATTTTTATTTTATTTGCTATTATTATCTGTTTTGGTCAGTAGTCAATGGAAAAACAATCGCAGCAGTGACTGACATGCGAAAATCGCGTCGTTTATATTAATGGATTGATTCGAGAGAGCGCCGCAGTCAAAGGGTTAATAAGTATTTTTTTTTTTTTTTTTACAAAAAAAAAGCAGATTTATATTCAACATATTTATATATATATCTTAAATAATTCGCATATTATATATGCAACGAACAGTAACTTAAGTTATATATATACACAAATACATTCCTTATAATAATAAAAAAAAAAAGCTTCCCAGATGAATGTTATGTCATGCTTGCGCTTGTCTGTTTGTTGTGTGTATACGATATCGGGGTGTCCTTAATTTAGGACGGGATCGGTGTCGTCCGAGGGATCCGGAGGTGGAGGGGGTACGTTGAAGGGTTCCCGAGGGATAGGAAGTCTTCTTCGCCGTCATACCAGTTTCAAATCACCTCAAGAGAGCCACACACAGATACAGCTTGTCATACAGCATCCTGATTAAACAAACAAATAATACAAGCAAAAAAAACAAAACAAAATATATCAATCAGTCAGATATCATCCCTGATCAAAATGCGGACAAACTATGCTAAATCAAACTAAAACGAAATATCTTTTATGTCATTCACTTTAAATTACATACCTGACACATATCATTTTTACACATTTTATGTGACTATGGATATATGTGTATATATATATATATATATATATATACATATATATGTGTGTGTGTGTTTTTCCGCGCGCACGTGTATATGTTACATATATTTGATTGACAAGTTTATATCAAACGCTATTTGAAATTCAAATGTATGTGCCAGGTTATATCTTATATCATTTTTATTTCTTTTCGCACTATTTCATACATATGTAAACATACAATTAAATATCATCACAATATATATATTATTCTTATTTTCTTTCGTTTGAAGTCAAATTTAGAATGTTCTCAAGGCGAGCATTGTTATACAAAAAATTTTTGATTAAATGTTTCTCAATTAACAAGAAATAGACTGATAAAAAATAATTGAGCATTATTATTTATTGCTCATATCACTTTTTAGTTTTAATTACAAGAAAGAAAGGCATAAAAGAGCCGTATAATTTTATCTTATTGCGTTAAATGTTACACGGTTGCTATATTATCCTATATATATACTTATACAAAATATTATTCCTTCTCATAAAAAAAAAAAAAGGAAAGAAGAAAAGAAAAGAAAAAAATAATAATATTAATTAACTTCGTGTTCGAAAAAAGAAAAAGAAAAAAAAATTATAATAAAAAGAAAATTTCATTTCACATCTCACCTTATACATTAAATAAAATTATAATATCGAACTTTATATATATATATATAAGAATATAACTGTGTATTTTTGGCACAATATTTGATACACAAGAAATGTATGATGAGAGAGAGAGAGAGAGCTTTGTACTTCGACTATTAATATTTATTTTCTGCTTAAAAAAAAAAAGTACACATTTTCGTTTTTATTCGTACAATTATTTATTTGTATCTATTCAAAAGATTTTAATTAGATAACAGAAAAAAAAGTTGTAAACTCTGAACAAGCTGTCCATTTGTGTATCAAAGTATCATTTTTATTGGATTATAATTAGAAAAATTTCTTTTTAAATGCTTATATCATAAAAAGCAATTTTTTGTATTGTCTAAAAGGTCAGCTTGGCAGAGGTGAACGCGTGCTACAAATGATTAATCAAAAAAAAAAAGAAAAAGAAGAAGAAAAAAAACAAAACAAATACATTGTTAATTTCATCATTCAAATTTTATTCGCAAAAATAAAAGTAATGCTTTCTTATAAAATATTTACTAACAATTATCACCCTCATTTTTTAGCTATTATTTTCTTTCTATTTGTGTGTGTGTGTGTGTGTTAGCAACACAAAAATGCTATAGCAATATTTCTTCTAATACGCATTATAATTATTGTGTTCTCAGATCAATAATGTTTGTTTCAAAATAAACCCCGGCTTATATAATTTTTGTTTAATATTAAAAAAAAAAAAACAGTCTTTGTCTCATTATTTCATTTTTTTTATGCATATGCATATATGAGTATATGTATGCATGTGTGTGTGTGTATGCGTGTGTGTATACGTATATTACTCGTATAAATATATGCAGGATGTCTGAAGTTTATCCGGCCATATTAGTGTTATGCACTAAAATAAGAAAAAAATATTATGTAAACATAAATCATTTAAAAACTTTATTTCGTTTAACCAGAAAAATCTCAGATATACTGTATATTATATAAACTTTGACTTATATTAGACCTTACAAATTTAATTTCAATATATAAAAATACACATACATATATACATACATTAAATATACAACATCAACCTATTTCTATGAATTATATACACTTATAATATTGTATTATTCGTACGCATTGATAAAAAATACATGGAATATTACATAGAATTAACTAAACTGATATTTTGTATACTAAATTAATTATTAACATTATAATATAATGCATATATATATATATATATATTACATAACATAACATACCAATTAATCGATGTGGCTTTCAGAAAATGGCCCCATAAATTTGGCGAAGCATGATCTCAGCATGTTTAGATTTTGCAAATGATTGTATTAATATGATACTTATTGCTTGTTTCAAATTTCATCTACGACGGACATTGTCTGAAGAAAAAATGTACACGGTAAAACATTCTGTAAATCAGTTAAAAGAAATTAGAAAAATCAATTAGTATTTTGTAACGAAATATTAAATAATGTAACATACATACATACATATAAATATTTTCGACGATCATATAGCAAAATCTCAAAATCTGGATCATATTCGAAACAACGTTGGTCAAAGTTATAAGAAAAAAAAAGAAAAAAAAAACAAATCATATAATTCGCAGATTAACATTTTCCTTAATGTATACATTTTTCTTTCAGGGCTGTGGATGGGAAGGACAAGAAAAACAAGAAGAAGGGCCTGTTCTAATAACATGAAAATAAACAAAACAAAAAAAAACAAAAAGAAAAGAGAACGCGAAAAAAAAATAAAGCGGAAAAAGAAAAAGGCACAGCGAGAGGTGCTGCTTCTTTCCAAATCGTACAATGGTGTTCCTGTTTATACAGTAGCGATGAGATAACATTTTTCATCCAAGCCAATGAATTTATTTTATTACAGAAAATAAACGAGGGATATTCACGATAAACTCAATCGAAACACATCACATATTTACACACACGTGCATACAAACACGCGTCATTTAATCATTGATACCCTCGTGATGAAACTTTATAATAATAACGCTAATTATATACGTGGACATTTATTAATTGCTTACACGACAAAGTATTGTAAAAGAATGATATATACTATATATCCATAAATATGGTTCAAATTAAGGTCAAATCACATAGATCTTATCTAGGAGATAGAGTTCTTTCTTTCCCAAGAGAAAGAAAAGACTTATACTCGTCGACATTTTTCATACCGAATTCCAAAGATTTCGATATTTCTTTATATTTTCTTTGTCTTTACTTTACTTTTTTTTTTCTTATTTTTTTTTATATATAATTTTTTTTTTTTTACCTGCAGAAACAAACCTTTGTTTACTTTGAGAATTAGAAAAAAGTATAAAGTATATACATGCTTCAAATTTTGATTTAAATGTAACTTTTATTTCACAGACTGATGTGTATTGTATTAGAGAGAATTAGGAGAAGCATTCAATATTGGTGCAGTGATTTAACGAAGGATCATTATTATTTTTTTCTTCTTTTTTTATTTTAATCTTAATATTTTGTTTCTTCGACCGTAAAGATTTTTTTTTTTTTATAAGAAGAAAAATGAAATTGTATAAAACTGTATACATATATGCAAGAATAATCTTCCCCCAACCCCAACTCCGTATTATTATTATTATAATTATTATTATTATTATTATTATTATTATTATTATTATTATTACTATTATTATTACTACTATTATTATTGTTATTATATATAAATATAAAGTAATTCACACACATGATATCAAAAGGGGGAAGGAAGAAAACTAATAAATAATAACAATGACAAGAAAAATAAACATTACAATTGCTTAAATCTTATAAAACTTAATCATACCGTGTTATGGTGCTACAATCTCAAATCGAGCCTCAATTAATTGCATTGTATGTATTTACAATATCACGCAAAAAAATTAGATTCAATACGCTTATTATGCATATTTTGAGGTTAAATAAAAATGTTATTCTTTATATATGTATTATATTATTATGTATCATATTTTTTTCTTTCTATCATTTCAGCATTTAATTTTGAAGTGCGAATGAAGTCATTATTTTGTTACAACATTTGATCTTTTCTTTTTATTATTATTATTATTATTATTAATAATCTTGATCATAAATTATATAAATGTATTTATTTAAGAAAGTACTCTTAATAAAATATATTTATATAATAGTAATAATAATAATAATAATAATAATAATAATGGCTATCATAATAAATATCGAGCTATTTACATCGTTTATTATTAAACATATTACAATATGTGTTTATTTTTCACTGTTATAATATTTTATTATTATTATTATTATATTGATCGTAAATATATTTATATTTATTAGTTTTTGTTGCTTATTAATTTTAAATTGCAATATCTTAAAAGAAATGATGTAAGAAAACAAGAAGAAAAAAGGCCATTTTATTTAACCTCAAATACAAAATGAAATATATCTGTTTATAAAAAAGAGAAAGAAACAAATCGCTAATGTGTTTTTTGTGCTTGAAGATTATAGCAAAAAAGCATAATAAAAAAAAGATAATGAAGCTCGAATGAGAAGAGAAAAGACCACTTTACTGTGAAATACTACTAATAAACTCTACAATATCGCACAATGTCCGATCCACGAAAGTAAGAACTTTTTAAAATTAAGAGCAGCATACAATTACAATTACAAGACAAACAAAAGAAAAAGTGACATTAGACAAGACAAGATTTTTATTATATACATTATATATGTTACAGTCAATGTATTATTGCGGGCATTGTATAGATTGTCCGGTCAATCTATAGAATATCCAGAAGGACTTGGTCAATCTATAAAGTGAGGTTCTTCAGTTGGTTGTCATTAAAGCACAGGGGGAGGGGAAAGTAATTTTAGGAAGAAGAACAGTAAAACTTTTAACACAAACTGAGCACCACGCTGATCTTTATAGTAATAGAATAACAATATATCTTTAATTAATAATAATTGAATTCGTTTCTTTTTCTATGTTACCTCTTTCTACCCTTACAACGTGAAAATTCGGAAGATAAAGTTCTTATAGTCAAGCAGTGGAGAAAGCGCCTATATGGAAAGTGAAGATCATTCAATGACCATATGAACATACACTTGTTACTTGTTTCACCTACAATATCTTGACATTCCCCTCCACCCCGTGGTCTAAACATCCCACTAAAAAGCATATTTCATAAATTTATCAAAACCCTTTACGCATTCTTTACATTGA